TGCTGGTATGCTGTGGACATCACGCACTTAGAGAGGCAACAACAGAGTGAAAAAGTATCCTCTGAAAACTGGGGCCAGGAAGGAAGGAGCAGATTGCAGGACGAATCAAGTAGTTGCTTTTGAATAAAACTTACGGAGCGGCACATCCTCCTTCGGCATTAACAACAGTGGCATAGAAGTGGTGGTTCCCCGCTTCGCAGGCCTGAGCTAATACACTGGGCTCTTTGCATCTCCAGGGCTTGCTTCTTATCCCTCTGCTTCCTTAGCCAGGAATAAACTTTACCTTGTTATGTTTTCACTTGGCTTTGAACTTAGCCAAGAAAAAGAAGTCCAGACATAATTAACTCCTCATTCTTTTGGCTCTTCTCAAAAAACGCGGGAGCCCAGAAGAGGGCTGGCGAGAGCCACTTGTGCCTCAAGTGACCATCAAGAGCTGCTGGCAAGGACTGGCAGGATGAGGGAGGTGAATGGTGCTTGTCAAGGCTGTTGGGATTCCGGGGGTTGCAAGGCTGTGAGGTGGAGAAGATGCACCATTTGCTGAATCCAAAGTGCTGGTCTCAAGTACACTCACTCAGGTACTTATCGCTGGTCTCCAGTACTTGTCACTCTCTGCAACTGCCTGACAGGAGGGTGTAGCAAGGGGGGTGTGTGTGTCTGTGTGTGTGTGTCTGTGGTCTCTTCTCCCAGGTTAAAGTGATAGGACAAGGGGAAATGGCCTCAAGTTGCACCAGGGGAGGTTTAGGTTGGACGTTAGGAAAAATTTCTTCACCGAAAGGGTGGTCAAGCACTGGAACGGGCTGCTCAGGGAAGTGATCGAGTCCCCATCCCTGTAGGTATTTAAAAGATGGGTAGATGTGGTGCTTGGGGACATGGTTTAGTGGTGGACTTGGTAGTGCTAGGTTAACGGTTGGACTCGATGATCTTAAAGGTCTTTTCTAACCTAAACGATTCTATAAGATCAAGGTGTCCAGCACCATTTTATCATGCCCTTCTGTGTCTGGAGTTTCAACAGTTTCCATGTCCTCTGCCAAAAGTACCATCCCTGCTTACCACCCTCACTTCTCCCCTCATTCCAGGGCCCAAGATTTCTTTCCTCTCCTGCACACACACGCATACCAGTGTGTCTGTCTGTCTCTTCCAATGCAGGGCATTGTTGTTTTGTTTTTAAATCCAACCTGAGGGAGTAGGGTTTTATTTATCTCCTTATTTCCTGAGCCAGATATACAGGCAAGTGCCCAAAGTTTAACCAAGAGCAGTACACAAGGGGTAATTAGTACCTGGAAGCAAGAATAGCAGGTATGACCACATAGAAATTTACTGTCTATTATTGGTAAAGGGTTACAAATGTTTTCTTCAGAAATAAAACTTCCAAAACCTCATGAAAGAACTTGCTGCATAAACACGTTTTTCTTAAATGCTTCAGTTGTGGATCCACAGAAAATAAACAACACAAGATGCCTTTTCAAAAAAGCTGAAGACCTTTTAAAACCATCTGGAACATCAGACTTGTGTGATGTCAGGCTGCTTAGTCATCTTCTTCAGCAGCGATGCAGCTATAGAGCCTCCCAAGCGATACCAGGCTAAGTTGGGGAAAAAAGTACGTTGGTGTAAGTGCGGAGAGAGTTATCACATCTCTTCCCCACCTTCCCCTCTCCCAATCCTCTGCAAAAAAGCAAGCCAGTTAGTTGTGTCAGAGCAGTTTTTACCATGAACAAGAGCAGGGCTCCAGGGGTGGGTAGCGGCAGAGATGTGCAGTTTTACATTTTTCTGAAGGCCCAAGAGATGAGGGGACTTTTGTTACTCACACGGAATAGCTCACTAAGTCAAGGTGATAATGAAGTAATCAGGACAAACCAAAAACTATGCTCAGCACAATCTGCAGTGACAGAAACTGCTGTTTACAAATTAGAATTGCTAAATACTGAAGGAAACAATATCAGCAGTGAGAGCACAGTGACACAGCCAAGTTGTTTATTAAAAAAAATCAAAAATCAACAGCCTTGGCATTCATGGAAATGGCTTGAATGTGTCCTCTTGTACTAATGTGCTTCAGAAAAATATGATCTATCTCATTTATTAGTGCTCCACGGAGTTTTTTAAAATAAAATGGCCTTCAATTGTCCATCATCCTTTGCTCCATAATGTGGTAGCGGGGAGAGAACAAGGCAAGCTCATGAAACAACCTGAGCTGCTGAGGTGAAAAAGGCTTGCAAAGCTGCAGTGAAGAGCATAGTTTTCAAGGGACGTGCTGGTATGCTGTGGACATCACGCACTTAGAGAGGCAACAACAGAGTGAAAAAGTATCCTCTGAAAACTGGGGCCAGGAAGGAAGGAGCAGATTGCAGGACGAATCAAGTAGTTGCTTTTGAATAAAACTTACGGAGCGGCACATCCTCCTTCGGCATTAACAACAGTGGCATAGAAGTGGTGGTTCCCCGCTTCGCAGGCCTGAGCTAATACACTGGGCTCTTTGCATCTCCAGGGCTTGCTTCTTATCCCTCTGCTTCCTTAGCCAGGAATAAACTTTACCTTGTTATGTTTTCACTTGGCTTTGAACTTAGCCAAGAAAAAGAAGTCCAGACATAATTAACTCCTCATTCTTTTGGCTCTTCTCAAAAAACAGCAGTAAGTTTTGATTTTCTTGTTAGAGGGTTGGGTTTTGCCCAGTAGATTCCCGTCTAACAGGAATAGTATTGGAAGTTGAGCTCAAACTGGCTATCTAGTATGGCCAGGGTAAGAGAACAGTGACTATTGTGGCAGGAAGGAGCATTAAATTAAGCAATAAACTATGCTTTAGTGATACGAATGCTAGCAAAACTCTCACTTAAACCAGACTAATAGAGTACACTTAGTGTCCCAGAAGGCTGGCACTCCTGTAAGCAACCTGGCAGGCTTTTGAACTGGGTTTTTAGTAGTGTTGGAGAGCACTAAGGAGACACGTTTAAAAAAACCAAAAAAAATCCAAACAACACAACACTAAAAAGACGTCTTCTCAGTGGTGTACATGCTTTTTATTAACAATGTGATTAACAAGACATCAGTTACAGACATTTGATGTCAAGGCGACCGATATCAAAGGTGTAACCCAGAGACATGAGGATTTATTAAGAGAGTAACATCCCCTACCACTCCCCAAACAAGGTTATGTCAACTCACCTGCTGGCTTCTGGACCCAAACCTTGCTGGGGGAGCAGGTAGTCTAAGGGGGTGGGCCAGAACCTGAACTACTACATGGAGATTTTGGCTTTCAGGTGTGACAATAACGTCCGCTCTCCTGACCTCTATACCACACAGAATCTTTCTCTCAGCTCTGCTGGAAGTAGGCTCTGTGACCTGCTCTGTATCGCCTCTGCCCGCCCCACGTGACTGGTAGCTGCTTCTTGCTCTGGAGCCCTAAGAGGCCGAGCAAAGACCTATAGGTTACTGAGATCTTGATGCAAACATGCTGGAGGGAAACTGAGTTGGAAAGAAGTAATTTTTCTTTCAAACTCCTCCTTTTGTTTCATTTAACAGATGGTAAAGTTCTGGAAGGTGCAATAGTGATCTTCAAAATTTTCAGTTCACGATCACTATAGGTTTCATGGGGTTTCTTAACCAAGACCCTAGAAATTACACTGCTCCACTGTCCTGAGCTTAGAAACAGAGTGGCCCCCAAGAGGAAAAAGTTTCTGGTTATTTTTGCTGCCCACACCGTGCTAGATAGGTGCACTGCTGTGCAAAACATGGTGATAAGTGACATGGAGCGGCAGCCCATGAATGGCAGTCAGTGACGCTTCATGAAGTCCTGGCATTTGAGCGAGCCCTTTCACAAAAAAAAAAACCAAAGGATCTACTTAACTGCCGAGCAAAGACTCTTGAGTAAGAAGCGGGGTCTGGGAAAACTTAGTGAACATGGCAGGGAAGACAAGTTAGATTCTTTAAAAAAAATCGGTCCAAGTGGATTTCGGATTCAGATTTAGAAAAATTTTCTTTCGTTATCTTACAGAAGCCCAGTGGTGCTCACCAACTAACAGCACTCACCTTTATTACATACTTTGAGATACAGTGCAGCCATTTAGCAAGTCGATTACTGGCACAGTCCTGCATTTTTAGGACTCGTCATCAAAAGAAAGGTAATTTGAATCACTACAGTTATCTTGCAAAAATCTCATCATTCCTAAGATTCAAGATCTGTAACGATGTATTTCGTATTTGCTCTTCCGTGCAGTGGTTAGAGAAGTTTTTTGTTAATATCCGATTTATCTGAACTTCCAAACGTAACAGCCAGCAGATTTATTAGGGCTCACAGAATAGAGCAGGAAGCGGAACGCAGATTAATGTTAATGTTTCAAAAGGCCTTTGAAAGAGCTGTACTACTGCTACGTTGCAGTCACTGCTTTTTTTGTCACATTATTACATCCATGTTGTTGTAACACTTTCTGTGTTTCACCAAGCATTTTCAAACATATTTCCAAGGCTGGGCCTTGGATGAGGGGAGATCTTTAGATCTTTCAATCTGGATACAAGTTGAGGGCCCAGACTCTCGCTAGAATCAAGCAGTCCAGCTGACTGGATCATGGTGTAACGATGCTGATGATAAAGGATCAGCCCCAGTGTTTAAAAAGCTGTATGTAATAAAATGCATGCAGTTTAGCATTGGCCACATTCACCCCTGGTGACGGAACGCCTAAGCCCAGTGAGCGCAGTGCGACGCTGGGCAGGTGGGCACGCTGCACCCTCCCTTCCCGCTACCGCGCGGTCCCGTGACGCATCACTCGATGTGCTCTGCTGAAAGCATGCCAGTGTAAAGACATGATAGTTTGTCACTGCAAGAGAATGGGTATTTTTTTTGACTGTGTGCTCCTAATCAATCCAACAGCATTTTCAAATAATTTAAGTAAGTGTTATCTTACAGATTTAGAGAAAAGCAAAACGTTAACGTATATTATTATTAAGTAAGTGAGGGGAAGGATGAAAAATCATGAGAAATTCACAACAGGAACACAAAAAGTGGCAGAATATTAGACTACTCTGCCTCTGAATTCACTCATGACTTGAACAGGATGGATTCTCTTCTTTGCAGAACCTTTTCTGACAGCCGCATAGATTTCTTCTGGCTTCTCTCTTTTAATTAGGGGCTTCTTCTCTGGAGCCTTCATTCTCCACATCACAACAGGATGTCGTGGGCCAGTAGGACTCTGGATCTTGATAATCTTTGTGGATGCAATATAGGACATCTTCACTGTCTGCACCACAGCATTCATTAAATTCTTGGCAGCCTGAATTAGCGAAGTGACGCTATCCAACTGTAATAAGAAACAGAAACATTAGCCTAGGAAGCCGGTCTGCTTTTAATCACAATGTGCTGATGAATAAACAATGGTTAAAAAGCAAGACTTAACCAAACCCTAATTCCTTTGTTTTCCCTTGGTGTGTTTGATCATGTTCCACTGCTCAGACTCAGAAGTGATATACAGAAATTTGTGCTGGTGGAATATAAATGCTTATGTCGATAATGTTTGGTTGTTTTTTTTTTTAAACGTGAATTCACGGTGCTTGTCTGCAGGGTCTCACTGCAGTTACTACTGGCAGGTACCGAAACCACCTCAAAGAAGAGCTATGAAAATGTGACCCATTACTTGCTTTGTATCCGCACCAGGCAAAGTCTCCAGCTGCTCCTGTCACATCCCAGGCTCCCACAGGTGCTCCTGAGCAATGCTGGGATCTCAGCGGCCAAGACTTTTAAGGGTAATTAAGCAGGATAGCATACAGAAACTGCAGTGACTGTGTGGCCTCTCAAACTGTTCAAGAAGTGCCAACCAAAGAGGCAGAATGCTTTACAAACTTATCCCTATCACCCGCTACCATCTTGAACAGCATCCTACATAGGCATACAGGTGTAAAGCAAAGCCATTTTCCATCAGTACTCATGGAGATAGAAAACAGTACATTTAATTCCAACTGAAAATCCACTATCTCCAACAAAATTGACAGCTTTTTAACAAGGGAGCGGGCTCTCCCGTACGGCTCCATAGTGTAAAGCGAGCAAACTCACTGACGCCACTGCTCCCTCCACGCGCTGGAGGCCTGCAGGCTGCACGGTGCCCGTGGGCTGGGGGCAGAGCGTGCTGGGGACACGTCACTGCCTTGGCCACCTCCTGGGCCCCAGCGCCTCTGGGAGCCGGGCCACGGGCTGACCGACACCGGTGCTGCACAGTTGTGCTGCGCAAACGGCAGATACGATCCTGGGGTGTGTGCTGAACTGAGGCGTTTTATTCTGTGTTAACCCCTCCAGTGACTCGTAATCTCATGTTCTAGGCACAACTCTGGTCCAACATGCTCCAGAAAGAGATTTCAAGCAGGCTGTCTGCAGGACAGGGTTACTGCTGCTGATGGGGAGAGCCTATCTATCTCGGGGGCTGTGGCTTGACTAAACCAAAACCAGCACAAGTATTTGACAAAAGGCCAACACTGGCAAAAGTGCTGATGCCTGTAACTGGCCATCAGCATTACTTCCACCCTTGGAAATGAGAAAAAGTCTTTCCCCCATTGCTCACGTTCTCAAAACACAGACTGGTAAGGCTCAGGCTCATCCTTTCAGAAGTAACAGGGACAACACAGAGAAGGCAAGGTAGGGGAGGAAGAAAGAGAGAGCACGCATCCATCCGTCCTTCCACATCTTGTGGTCTTAAAATCCAAGAGCAGGGAATTGCTGTGTGTGTGTTTGCTGCAGCTGTGTCTAATGTTAGGCATTGTACGCCACGCTGGGCACTTCAGAAGGTATCGCCACACATCCAGTGCACTCAAACAGGAAAAAATGACACCATTTTAGGTGAAATGTTCACGGTTTTATTTTTGGTCATATGGAAAACTTTTTTTTGACAGGGTCGGCTAACAGCTGAATGACGCCATATTTCATTTTGAGCACAGTGCTTTTTGTGCCATTAAATTTCTTTTGGATTTATTTGCTTGAAATAAAGGCTGTCCTCCCCCTTCACCTTAAGGTACCTTGGCTGTTGTCACAGTGCACCAAAGAGCTGCTAGGGACAAATACAGGGCGTAAATCATCTCGGTGACCTAAGTGAGTAGCTTTTCATCTTCTAAGAAGACATCGCACTCCTATTTAATTATGAGGCTGACAATTTCAATTTGGAAAGGAATCTCCAGTCTGAATACCTTTAAGAAAGTCCTGGTTTACATACTTATTATTTAATATTATTTAGTAGTTAATACATAGAGTTAATTTATTTAGAAATACTTATTATACATATTATTTAAATAAATAAATACTATCTGTAATTTTTATGACAGCCCCAAAACAGGGACGAGACATGTTAAAAATCAAATTTATATCCATGTGCCAAGATGAGAAAAGTACTGGTTTTAGGACCAACCAAAGACTTCAAATGCCAGGAGGTCTACTTTCTAGAGCGTATGCATGTGTGTATGCGCGTGCAAATACGTGTCTGTGCACGCACGCTTCCACACGCAAAGCACCTTGGTCAGGAATCGCTGTCAGTTGTACACACGCCAACGCTAAGGAAGCCCACTGTGGTTCGGCTGTAAAAATAGCAGCATCACTCGCTAACTGGAGAGCCGATACATTTCAACTTCTGAATATCCTCTTTGTTGAAGCGCTTGTACAAGCGATGAGGTCTGTTCTCTGAAAGGGCCATCGGTTTTAGTGCGAGGATGACCTTCAGCTTTGTCAGCCAGCCTAACCACGTAGCCTTCTGCAACATGCGGATTTGCAAACGGCATTTTGAGGAAAGGGTCGAGGTCTTCTCCCCCTTGCCACATCAAATGAATTGATCGGCCGAGCGGAGTGCATTGGTGTCTGTATTCGTGTGTAACACTCCATACACATACACCCCAGGGCAAGTAAGGCAGTAACAGAAATGCATCCAAGGGACTGGGGTTAGTTGCATTTTTTTGGCAACTCCTCTGAACTGGCAGAAGAACCCTCCAGTTAAACAGAACCACAGAACGGCAAGGGTTGGAAGGGCCCTCGGGAGATCATCTAGTCCAACCCCCTGCTAAAGCAGGCTCACCTAGAGCATGTTACACAGGACATTGTCCGGGCGGGCTTTGAATATCTCCAGAGAAGGAGACTCCACAACCCCCTGGGCAGCCTGTTCCAGTGCTCTGTCACCCTCAAAGTAAAGAAGTTTTTCCTCGAATATGTTCCTCTTATGTTTCAGTTTGTGCCCATTGCCCCTTGTCAATACCATGTTTACTGCTTCCCTCTGGAAGTGCCCAAAAAAAAAGAAAACCCCTTACCAATTTCCCCCTCCCTGCCCCCGAAAGTTAAACTCCTTAGAGGACTATTGAACGCGCACATATGCGTGACGGCAAACTGAAATTCTCTCTGTGCCTCAAGAGAAGGTGTGAATTTACCAGATGGCCTCTGAAGCTCATTCCTTGCTGCAGCATGTGAGCTTTTTTAGAGAGGATTTCCAGTTTGTGATAGCCTTGTAATCCTTGCACGGCAGCGCTGTAACGCAGGACGGCAGGTAGGCGTGGGGCCGCTAACTGCAGGGCAGCGGCTGCCCGGCCGCACTGCCGGGTTAAGCAGTACAACATCGCTGTTGTGATACGAGCTGAAGTGAAGTTCAAAGCACGTGGTGACCTTCAAGCCTAGAGCGTATTTCAAATGCTGCTTTTAATCCAAGCATTTTACAACCTTCCAGGCTGCCGGTGAGGTGTTCTGCTCAGAGGTCCTGCCATGACACTCCCAAGACGCCGCCAGGCCCCAGCACACCCCTTTGCCTAGGGAGGCTGACAGTGGTGTACCATGAGCGTGCTGCCGAACGGACATCCTGGCTGAACTGTAAGCTGCTGAATATTCACTGTGACGATTAAATTAGTTGGTTAGAAGGAATGAGAAGGAGGGAGACAAAGTTGCATAAGAATTTCTTGCTTTCATGCTAATTAGAGAATTATACACACACACAATTTCAATTATCAGTTGTTTCCTAGAACAGCTGACAAAGGCCCTGAGCCTGACGGCTTCTTAAGAGCTTTGAATCTTTTTGCCCCCCCAATGGTCAGTCCCGGTGGCAGCACCCGCACTCACTTTTCCAGCGCTGGCTGTGTAGTAACGCCGCTATGAAGCTGCTGTGCGCCAGAGGGGACTAAAAAAGATGGGTTTGTTGCTATGGCAGAAGGTGTATGGGCCTAAGGGGCAGGGTTTTTTTCCTGAAGTTCCTCAGTGACTTCAGTGCCTGCAATCCTTCTGCTTTTTTAAAGCTGCCTGGAGTGAGAGCTGTGCCAGGAGGCTGTCAGGCTGGGCTGGGGGTCAGCGGGGAGAAACTAAATCTGTTTGTATGGCAGGGGAAAACGCTTCTTGAAGAAATTGGTAGCAGCATCCAGGCAGGATAGAAGGGTGTCCCAAAACTTCAGCCAGTTTTTATTGTGACTCCAGTTTATACTGTGAAATACAGATAATGGCAGGAAATCCTTCCAGGAGATGGTTACACCTTACTTGCCCTTCCTCTCCTGCAGAAACTGGACGGTCAGATCCCCCTCAGGCTGGTATCTGTAGCTCCTTTCACAAAACGGCTGGGGCCGTGGGACAGTCCACAGCTCCTTCACTCACCACTGTGATCAAGGAAACCATGATTTTATTTCTTTAACTATAATCTTCATATACACTTACTATAAACAAATAATGAAATAAACTCCATGGGTCTCTAATTTTGATAAGGTTGCAAAAAAAAACCCAACAAAATTACAAAAAACCCCACCCACCCAAACAAACAAACAAAAAAACAAAACCAAAAATAACGTCACACATTAGCCTCATAGTCTGACATGAGCTCTGGGGAGCAGACACCTACCAGCTCCGGCATTTTAAATGCTAAAAATCCGAAGACTGAATTACAAACCCACTTGGTGCAGCTGTGCCAAACCGCAGCACCTGAATTCCACCACCCCTCCGGCCATGCCAGAGGAACTGAAGGTCTGCCTGATTATTTAAGCTCAGCAAAGGATGCCCTGAGATACAAACAGGCTTGCAGAACCAGGTATCTGAAACAAAAATATAAAAAAAGAACTGCTGTGTGCCTCCCCGCTGAACAGCATCCTATGCACCAGTAAGGCTGTTTGAATTGGGGGGTTTGCTGCAGTTACCGTGGCGGGTTGGGGGGGGTGTGGGGTGGTGTAAGAGGTGTATGTCAGGACAGGCAGCAATCGCCATTGCTTCTACTTTGCTCTTGATGTCTCTGCATAGGCGATGCCATATAGGGAGCCTTTAGGCCATCCATGGTATTTGCAGTGCCTCAGTGTCCACGTCCCCCCTCAGTTT